TCACAAAATATAAAAGTATTAAAAGTTATTTAAAATTATTTAGAACTTCTAAGAAGTACTTCCGGACTGTGCTGTTGCTGCGTGAAGGGTTAACCCTTTGCTGTCCTGCTGTGCTTTTCTTCTCTACAATTTAAATTTAAATACTGTATTTTTTTTAAATTAACAATCCATGATGCATGGATTGTTAATTTAAAATATTACAGTATTTAAATTTAATTATTTATTTACACAGAAGGAGAGAGATTGGGAGTGAAACTTGAACTTGGACTTAGGCCTGTCACGATAACAAATTTTGCTGGGCGATAATTTTCTCAGAAATTATTGCGATAAACGATAATATTGTTTGAAAATTGACAATACTTTGTAATTATTGTCAAATTTAAGAAAAAATGTTGGTTAATTTTTGTGTGTTGTACCTTTTTTGACCATTGGATGACAGTACAAGACTGTTTGAACCGAAGGATGGATAGTGAGGGAGCAAGCAGCGTGACACTTTAAGAAAAAATGGGAAGGAGGACCCTTGACGTGACATGGGCTGTCTCTCGTTCCTGTTTTTTGTTCTCAAAATGGCGGACGCTCTGTGTTGTTTGAGCTCTTTAGCATAGCGTTTTTCATACAAAGCTTTTAACAAAAATAAATAAATCAGTAAACAAGTTCTCAGCTTCTTTTTGCAGAGAAAAACAACTTTTTACACAAAGGCACGGGTTTCAACTGTGAATTTTGGAGCTTCGACAAGACGGAGGTTTTTTTCCCTGAGGTCGGCCTGTTAGCTTAGCTGCTTTTATCGATCCTAAAGCGTGATTTTGGATGGTTAAAATGGATTTTAAAAAGAAAAGAGAAAGGGAGGGGTCAGTGAAGAGCACCGGAGTTGAACTTTTTGTCATCCAGTGTCTTCAGTAGAAAGAGAGACACACGAAGAATCGATAAAGCTGATAAATGAAAATGAGATTGATAATTTTAATTTATTATGCAATTAAATTATTTATTGTTTATTGCGACAGGCCTACTTGGACTACTGTATCCTGACTTCACGTTTTTTCATTAATCGCGGGGGCGTGGTCCCCTAAACCACGTGATAAATGAGGGACATCTGTATTCTCACTGGCTTTTTGTGATCTTAAGAGAACTATCTTACGAGAAGAACGATGTTAATATTTCAAAGGTGTGGACACTTCTACCACGATAATAACTGATTGAAGGTTATAGTGAAGCAACATTCATTCTGGAGTCAGACAGATACTCCAGCTCCATCTGAACTTTTATTTCATCTTATGCTTCTCCTTTACTTTTTTCCTGAAAAAACTGTGTGTGCACATGTCTACTTGTTTGCACTGTCTCAAAACTAAAGTGCACAGTTAAAACTATTGCAGCGGGCGTATATGTTTTATGATATTTTACAAATACATGGACCTAATTTTGGATAATAAACGGATAATCATTGTTAAACTTGATTTGACGTTGTGTTAAATATTCCAACTGTTATTTATGAATCAGATGAGTAAAATGTCTCGTGATGAACACTTTGTATGTAGAACTGTGGTTGTTTCCACGTCCCTATTTTAATAAAAAAATAAATAACACAATTGAACAAATTTTGGATGTTATAAATGAGTTTGGTCAGTAGATGGTGCCAACAAGTTTGAAATTATTAAAGTTATCTTCAGTGTAGAAACTATTTTTCTTTATTAAGATCTGACATTCATCATCTACATGCATTAAACTAATAACATCAACAGCCTTCCTGCAAACAGAAGACCCTGTTGGTTGTTTGCCCCCCTTTGCTCATCTTATGTGAGCATTAAAACAGCCAACCAGGCAACATCCTTTCAGAAAATACAGTAAAACAAGGTCATTAAATTCAACCTTTATATACAGGTTAAACTCATTGAGCCTCCAGGACTAATTTACAAGAGAGACCTGTTTTAAACAAACAACACATGAGGTACAGACAGCAATAGACAATCATATAAAAAACATATATTATACGATGAAAGTAAATAGAATAAATTATATAAAAATGAAACAAAAACCTACATTATGAAGTGATGACTACTGCTATATAGACTACTTCTGCTAATGCTAATTTTACTTCTGTTAATGCTAATGCTAGTTCAATTACTGTTAATGCTAATACTGCTAATGCTAATTCTACCAATGTTAATGGTAATATTGCTAATGCTAGTTCTACCAATGTTAATGGTAATATTGCTAATGTTAGTTCTATTACTCTTATTGCTAATACTGTTAATGCTAATTCTACCAATATTGCTATGGCTAATTCTACCAATGTTAATGCTAATATGGTTAATGCTAATTCTACCAATGTTAATGCAAATATTGTTAATGTTAGTTCTATTACTCTTATTGCTAATACTGTTAATGCTAATTCTACCAATATTGCTATTGCTATTTTTACCAATGTTAATGCTAATATTGTTAATGCTAGTTCTACCAATGTTAATATTGCTAATGTTGGTTCTATTACTCTTATTGCTAATATTGTTAATGCTATCTAAAAAAGTTAAGCTAAGTCTGGTTCTCTGGACATTCAAAAAACTAAACAAAGCAAAAAATAAAGTTTTGTCTTTCATCCCTACATTTTTGTTTGTTTGTTTTGTTTTTTGAATGTCCAGAGGACCAGACTTAACTTGTTTTTAATTTTTCTACCTGGATTATTGAGCATGCATCAGGATATTGTTAATGCTAATTCTACCAATATTGCTATTTCTACCAATGTTAATGCTAATATAGCTAATGCTAGTTCTACCAATGTTAATCTGCTAATATTGCTATTGCTATTTAGCTTGTTAGTAAGAGTGGTACCTGAGCGTGTGGTGTCTGAGGCAACACAGAGTGACAGATCCTGGCAAGAAGCTGGAGCAATTTTATCCAACACCAGGTCCAATACCAGGGGGTGGCCAATGGTGGCCTTGGTCACTATTGAATAATCTTCAGCCACCCGTATCATTTGAGGAAACTATACTTTTAAGCAATAGTTTCCTTAAATGATAGGGGTGCCAGGTTAACACATGTTGGTGGCAAATTTTTGATGAGAACTTTTTCCACACATGGATAGCCACACATCAAAATGGAAGACACTTATTTTTCAAGTTATGAAGGCAGCAACATTCACAGACATACGGATGAAGGCATTTCCAATTCCCACTTTTGCTCTGCGATGGGGGACAAAAAGCAGCATCAGAGTTAAATATTTATTCTGTTAAATACAGAAAATACTTATTATTGATAGAGGTTTTAAAACAGATTATTTGTTTATATAATTCTAATGTTTTTCATCATTTATCTTTTGTCGGTGTAAGTTTAAATGTTTGAACTGGGAGGCTCCAGATGAATCAATAAAATCACCTGAATTAGTCTCGTTAGCATATGGCTAAAATGTAAAAGCAGTGCAAACTTTTAGGAAATACCTTTTATTTCCATCAGAACTGGTGTCTATTTGAACTAGTTTCATCAGCTGTAAAACATTTCCATTAATTTCAAATACAATACAGAGGTATTTTAGGAAATAGGATTTTATTTGACTTTGCTACAGAATGAATAGCAAATCATACTTTATGAAAAAAAAACTTATTGAAATAAAACTAGGATTCCCCAAAGGAAGTAAAAAAAAATAAAAATCTCTAAAAACATCTTGCACACTTTGTTGGTGCTTGAAGTAATTGGAGTGACTCTCAGCTACTACCACACCAGATTTCAGCTTGATAACTGTAAAAGTGACTGAGTTGTAGCAATGTTTATATTTGTTGAGATTATTTAGCTATAGCTGCCATCTTGAATTGAACTGACGCTGAAAATTTGTCAGTTGTAGATCAGTTCAGTTTATTTATATAGCGCCAAGTCATAACAGAAGTTGTCTGAGGGCACTGAACATAAATATTCATATATAAAAAGATAATAACATTAACTATCTGAGGAGCAGACTGCTTTGAGTTTAACTTTATCAAAGTCTTGCAACTTGAGCAAGCTTGAAGGCGACAGTGGAAAGGAAAAACTCCCTCAAGAGGAAGAAACCTCCAGCAGAACCAGGCTCAGGACAAGCGGCCATCTGCTTCAACCGGCTGGGTTTGAGAGGAACAGGAAGGAGGAACAGATACACAATGGCAGGTCAAGAATCACATAAATTCAAATGAAAACTATTCAACTGTAACAATTAATTTTAAGAAATGAGGTCAATTTGTCCTCCAACAGTCTAAGCCTATAGCAGCATAACAAGCCAACCCTAACTATAGGATTCATTAAAAAGGAACATCTTAAGCCCAGTCTTAAAACTGGACAATGTTTCAGCCTTATGGTCAGAAACTGGAAGTTGGTTCCACAAGAGAGGAGCCTGATAACTGAAAGATCTTACTCCCATTCTGCTTTTGGAAACTCTAGGAACCACGAGTAAACCTGCAGTCTGAGAGCGAAGTGCTCTGTTAGGAAAATATGGAACAATAAGATTTCTAATATGGAGCTAGGTTGTTGAGGGCTTTGTAGGTTAGAAATACAAAGTAAGATTCCTGTGGGTTTAATTAAAATACACTGTGTGGTTCATGAGATATTCTGCTAACAGACAGACAAAGTTGACTCCTAATTAATTGCTAATGAAAACGTTTCAAAGCAAAATCTTGTAGGATCTGTTAACCCTTACAGTATGTGACTGGGAGGACTTTCAGCTACTACCACAACACATCTACATCAGTATTTTTAAAAAGGACTGAGTTATTCTCATTTTTATGTTTGCCAAGGTTGATTAACTTTGGCAGCCATCTTGAACTGGGTTGACTCCAAAATGTAACCAGTTGTAGACGCTTGTCTAATGATTACTTCCTGAGAGGTTTGTCAAAATCTATCCAGTGATTCATGAGATATTTTGCTAACAGATTTACACATGCACATGCCAATGCTGTCCTTCATGGCGGCAGGGGACTGTAGTCCAGATGAAACCTCGCTGTGAACTCTGAGTCGTTTTATTCATTTACGTCAGGAGCTTCAGACAATCAGAGCTTATTTCTGAAGAACTGCGGTCCGAACACCACGCCGACCACGCAGGTGATCACAAACAGCACCCAGAAGACGGCAGCCAGCAGCTGAACGCACATCAGCGTCCTCTTGCTCTGCTGCACCACCCCCTCCTCGCCCACCAGGCCCGGCGCCGCCACATACGGACGCCCCGGGTGCATCTGCTGCACCCGCAGGCTGACGGTGGGCATGATGATGAGCCGGTTGTCCCTGCTGTTGCCCTCCAGAGACAGCACCACCCTCTGGGTGACCGTGGCCAGGCTGGAGGCGGGGGGCGTCCGGAGGGACACGCGGGGCAGCCTGGACAGGATGAGGGAGTTGCAGGGTAAGGTGAGGGCGTCCCCGGTCTCCAAGGGGGTTAAATGGCGACAAAGGGGACAGGGGAGGACGAGCTGACTGGGTGTGATGGAGGGGTCACAGGGGCTGAGCTGGATCCTCTGGAGGCACTCTGTGCAGAAAACATGGAGGCACTCCAGCATCCGGGGGCTCTTGCTGTGCTGGTTGTACTCCTGGTAGCAGATGGGACATTCCAGGTCCACCGCCTCCACAAGGCTGGAGCTGGGAGCAGCAGCTGGATCCAGCTGGGACGCCGGGACAATGTCATCCATCAGGACAGGAGGGGGGTGGGCTTTGGATCAGAAGGTGGTTGTCAAGAGGTGTGGACAGATCTGTCACCAGGATCTGAGAAGAGAAAACAGCATCAAGAGTGAACTTAACATTTAAAAATACAAGAGTTTATATATATTATATATACAGATATATATATATATATATATATATATATATATATATATATATATATATATATATATATATATATATCTGTATATATATATATATATATATATATA